ATATTTTTAAAAAATCCATTACAAAAGTTGCTTTCATTCTACTGTAATACTTTGATTCAATCTGTGGGCTAGAGTTGAGCCACTCCCGCACATTTTCGGGAAGGACTAACTCCAGGGAGGTCTCGAGCAACTCCTGACTGCTTCAAACATTTTCAAAAGTTTCTAGAGTCTAGGTATCGGAGATCCAACCACAGACACACAGAGAGAATTATTCCGGTTTTCCTTTCTTCGGAGAATTGACACTGCTTTTTCTTTCTCTTGGCACTTCTCGCTAAAGAACCACGCTATTCATGTTCCAAGCGGTGCAGTCTTCTCTCACACGGATTTGGTTCTCTTTTCCCGATAATATACGAGGTGGGAGGATTTCTGATATTGACTGTGGGTTTGTTTATATCGGGGTCTGTCCCAGGCGTACATTTCAAAAGGAGTTCGGCACTAACAGCACACCTCCAGCATCTCCAGTAAGGAAGGCTGCATGTAATTGGAATTCGGAGGTGGGGGGCAGGCATAGGGAGTCCTGCCGGGGCTTGCCTGAGGTTGTATTTGCATTGCAAATGCAGTATTTTTCTTCAGTTCAGATATTTTAGGGGGAAATTGCTGGAGAGGGGGTGAGAGCTCCTGGAAGTGGTTAACGGGCCTCCCCCCCCCCCCCCCCGGCGGCCGGCTTCCGTGCTAACCTTTAGGGCCACGAATGCTTCCTGGCCTTGGGAGCAGTCAAGGGAATAAAGCTCCCAGCGGCCCCCTGACTTCTGTGTTCCAGTCCCATGTCATGACCAGATCCGAGTCAAGGCTATAGGACTTCTCGATCGAGCTCTGCTTCTCTCCACCCTGCCCAACCTTCATCTAGTTCTTGCTAAGCTCTGCTTCTCACTACAGCTTGGCAAACGTTTATGGAGGATGCTCTATGAACTCAGCGTTCTGCTAGGCAGTGGCAGGGGGGATATAATGATGAGCTGATAAACATACAAGTTGGGAACCGACAAGAGTTCAGGCTGGGAAGTCTTCCAGACTTATTTACATTTTAATTTGGGATTACCAAAAAGCGTTAGTTAACACAAAGGGAGGTAGGACTGAATCAGTGGGGCACGTTGGGTGTTGGGGGTGCAACGTACACAGAGGATCCTGTCCTGCACATTTTAAGGTCATGCCACCGGCGTATCACGCAGTCTCAAAAGAAGAGAAAAATCTCCAACATTCTTTGAGCACGTGAAGATTCTGTGACCCTATGATTCTCACTTGCAGCCAAGTTCCCTCTCGGAGGAGCCACGAGATTAGGTAACGTCTTCCAATTCCTGGATGATCCTACCCTGCTGGCGTCCTTCATGTACAGAGATGATTCTGCCTATCAGTTTTAGACGTTCCCCAATTAGACATTTACTCTGTGCTCGATATGGCAGATTATGGGCTGGCATCACCAGGAGTTGATGATTTCCCGGTATATTGGTTTCCGTCCAATCTGCCTTCACCTTCACACGGCCAACTTCCCTGTGTGCGCGTGTCTCTGCTCTTCCAGCAAAAACACCGGTCATACTGGATCAAGGGTCCACCCTACTTTAGTATGGCCTCATCTCAACTTACATCTTAATTACATCTGTAAAGACCCAGTTCTCAAGTAAGGTCACATTCACACGTATCGTGGGTTAGGACTTCAACATATCTTTTGGGGGGCACACAATTCCACCCACAGCATCTAGTGACCAACAACGTTTGTTTATGTCGAGGGATAAGGTTTTGATGGGCAGCCATGAAACAGACCAAAGCAAAATGGTCCACGGGGGAGGAAACCATGATCTGACTAACTTGATGTGCTTATCAGTTGTGCTAAAGAGTCCTACAGGTATTCTCCTATCTATACCAGTGGCTTTAACCTTCCTTCCCCCTCCCTCCTTCCTTCCTTCTTTCCTTCCTTCCTTCCTTCCTTCCTTCCTTCCTTCCTTCCTTCTCTCCTTCCTTCCTTCTCTCCTTCCTTCCTTTCTTCCTTCCTGCCTCCCTCCGTCCTTCCTTCCTCCCTCCCTCCCTTCCCTCCCTCCCTCCTTCCTCCTTCTCCTTCCTTCCTTCCTTCCTTCCTTCCTTCCTTCCTTCCTTCCATCATGACATGATCTGGTTAAATATTTGGTGTTGGGAAATTGATGGGAAGATCTGGATCCGAAAAGAGTACTTTCGGAGCACCCGGCTGGCTGGCTCAGTCAGAAGAGACTGAGACTCTTGACCTTGGGTGGTGAGTTTGAGCCCTATGTAAGATATATGAGTTTACTTAAAACAAATAAATAAATAAATAAAATTTTTAAAAAAGGTACTTTCCTGTGAGTAAGGTAAATATTGAAGTATTCCTTAGTTTGTCACATACCCACAAACCATCAGAGAGAGTTTACCATGAGTTTCATAACTGAAGGATCTGTTGTAAGTATTCAGGTTTATATTTGGCTTTGAATTATACATACACCCCCCCCCACGCACATTTTAAGTAACTTAGCTTAGAGCACCAACGTTTCAATCTGAGCATTATGGGTGGTAACGTCTCTTATGTGAGATAACTGGGGACACAGTTCCCTGGCACCAAGAGACCAATTAAAGTAATTGGCATTCTGCACGTTTGAATCAATGATGTTGCTCACTGAGCCCAATCAACCAAAGTGAAGAAACCCAGTGCATGCTTTTCTTAGAGCCAGGAGAGGAAAATCTGGCAAAAGAGCTGTCCTCGCAGCCCCCCTTCCCCCATAAAGCATTTCCAGTCCTCAATTATCATAGAAAAGAAAGGACAGAAGACTATGCATTATGTTCAGGCTCAGTGTGAGTTATGACGCAGCCCAAAGAGGAAATGGACAAAAAAATTACTAAAATAATGATCAGGAGAAAATTGCCCAAGAGGAGAAAGCTGGTGTGTCCTAAAATCCTGTGCCGGGGTGAGGATCAGAATGGATGCCGATAGGATTAAGCTGGTACAACAAACTCGTGTTTTGTTTTAACCTCACTGCTTTGAATACGGACTGGTCATTGGAACCCCCCTCTCCATGGGTCTACATGGGATGTTCGGATCGGTCCTCGTCAGATTCACACACGTTTCAAAACAACTTTTGAAAACAAATGGAGACTGACACGGGATCCCTGGGGACAGCAGGAGTGTCTGGTTGCACTTTTCTTATTTAAAGATTAGTGAAAAATTCTCACTAGCACAGGAAGGAAAAGGGAGCTAGGGATTTGTAGTGGTGAAAGAAAATACAGATGAAGTTATTTGGATTGTGCTTTTTATATATCTCTTAGCATAATTCGGGCTTAGAACGGATCTCCACTGTGATTTTGTTGGCTTCGTTTTGACCTGAACAAAACGGATTTGCTAGTTCTGTTTCTTCTTTTTATTCAAATGGCAAACACCCTCCGGGTTTTGAGAAATCTGATGGTTATCTCTTAGTCAGAACCAAGCTTGAAGAAGTACTCTTTCCAATTTTGGATGGTTAATCATACTGGATTCTTACCAAAGACCTCAAGGGAGACTTAACTTGAAGGACAAAGATGGTTGTCAAGCAAGCTATGGATTAGGATCCGATTCTTCGGTGGCAGTTCAGGGAACATAGTTTAGGCAAAGGTGGATTCAATAAGGCAGACAGCAAGAAATAAAATATGCCTCATTTACCCAGCAACAAATACGCCACGAATATGCTTTTCATTAGTCAATTTAATTTTGGTTCCAAATGTTAATTAAAAAGTGTACATTTCATCCTTATAGGGCTGGAACTTAAAACAAAAAACCCTCTTGGTTCTCAAGTGTTAGGTTCAATTACTAAAAGCGGGGTTGACAAACAGGCTTAATCAGTGTGAAATTTAGTATCATGAGCCTGGAGTTTGATTTTGGTAATCGATTACAATGAATTTTCCTATCCCTTTCAGGGAACAAAGGCTCAAAAAAATCATGGTTGTCTATTGCTTTACTTACATTTAGGGAGAGAATTTTGAAGGGAACAAATGTAAGAGGACAGAGAAAGGAAGTTTGCCTCAGAGAGAGAAACACTGAGGAAAAAGCTGCTAGAAAATGAGAATTTTATTATTTCTTCGTTAAAAAACAAAACAAAACAAAACAAAACAAAACCTGCCCTTTGCCAAATCTAAGAATGTTGCCAACCTGGGAGAAAAAGGATCCATTTTCCTACATAACCACATGTAATAATTTCCATGAAATTGACATTTTAGAATGATGGCAAAAAGCCAAATGAAAATTTATGGATTCCTGATCCCTAAATTCTGAGCCCATTTTCTTAAGAAATACCTAAAATACACTTTAAAAAGAACCCAATTAATATAATTACAGAGGGTTGAAACAACGCACACAAACGGGATCTGTTTCCGTAAAACACAGCTGTTCTGTTATTTATATTTTGCTATTATTTAAAATGAGAAATGTGGCCATTATGTCAAGCAACTTTTTCAAAGGAGTGAATCTGTTGTCTTCTGCATCATTACATTTTTAAAAGGCCCCTACAACCAATTAGCTTGGAAATCTTATATTCAAGCCTCCTCTGAATATTGCCCCACTTGTAACAAGGAAAGCGTTACATCCAGGTATTTAATGTAACAGAAACAAGGCACAGGCAGCAACTTCTCTCTCGCTCACTCTACCCCGCTTCATCAACCCCCTTCCCCCCAAGAAACGAGGCACCCTTTGGGCCTCGGAAGGTGCCCGGCGGGGAGTGGAGCCGCCGGAAGAGCGAGGGCAGAGCGCGCGGTGCCCACACCCTTGACCGCGGGGTGAGCGCGGGTGGCCGCCGTTGGCGCGGGAGAGGGGCGCGGGGTAGGAGTGCGGGGTCTAGGCGGAGCCCCCCACCCCACCCCACCCCCCTCCCCTCCGCCCGGGTCTGGGCATCTGCGACACGAGGCCCGGGGCCCGCAGCCCCCGGCTGGGCCCGGGCGGGGATGGGCGGGCGGGGGGCGGAGCGCGGCGCTGCGCGGCGGGAAAGGGGCGGGGAGGACAGCTCGGGCTCTGGCGGGCAGAGAGGGACGGTGGCAGAACCTGCGGGCTAGGTGGGAGGCTCACCCTCTGAGAGGAAAGGAAGCGAGGATCGCGCGGCCGGAGAGCGAGGAGACGCTTGGAGTCCAGGGCTCGGGCCGCCCACACCTCCTCCTGCGGCGGACACGGCACAGCGGGCGGCGCACCGGCCGCATCCGCGACCCTGCGCGCAGGTGGGCACCCCCGAGCGCCGCGCTCTGCCCCCCTCCAGGGCCGCCGCGGGCCGGATGCCCTGGCTTCCAGGCCACCGAGCTCGCGGCCGAGGGCCGGGCAGGTCCGGGGGCAGCGGGAAGGTGCCCGGCCCCTTGGTGTGCACGCTTGTGTGCGCGCGCTGGGCGAGGTAGGGAAGAGGTGCGGCGCGGCTGCCTCCCTCGGGATTCTCCCCCTCGGGTCTCACAGTCCCCACCCCCACCCCCTTCTCACGAGCTGAGTCCCCGAGCGGCTTTGGAAGACTGCGCTCCCCCCCCATCTCCGTGGTGCGTGCAGGTCGCCCCTCTCTTCGCACTCTACACCCGGCAACCATCCGGAGGCCCCCTGCCCTGGGCCCGCGGGACTGTAGAAACCCGGGGAAAGCAGAGAGTGGTGGCAGGACCAGCCGGGGCGTGTGCGGGGAAGGCTGGAGTTGTTCGAGTATTGTCTGCCCGACCGGTGCCTGAGCCCGCGCGCTCGCTCGCGCCCCAGGGCCGGAGTGGGGTTGGGTGGGTGGGGGGGGACGGGTGGGATGGGGTTTGCCGAACTTCTCTCTGAAGGCTGACGGTGCACATGCACTTGGCGCCCCGTGCACGTTTGGACGAGGGTTTAATGGAGGCACGTGGGAGCAGGATTGGTCGCTGGCGGGCCCCCAGAGAGCCTCTCCGGATGGCCCAGCGCGTGTTCGGGGTGGGGAAGGGAGTGTTGAGTGTGTGTGAAATGTCCGTCCTAGGGAGCAGGAGGAGAGTGGCTCAAGGAGACTTGATTTTCTTGGATTTGCTGCAATTCCTTAAACCGAACCAGGCTTTCGGGGCGTTAAAGGAAATTACCGGTAAGTGGGGACGGATCTCTGGTGGGGCTAAAAAAAAAAAAAAAAAAAAAAAA